TTGCACTGCCATTCAATTTCTCCAAATGCGTGGCGAAGGGTTCTCGCTTGTAGTGTTGGTGGTCTGCCTACTGCAACCGTTCCGGCTGTTTCTTAACTCGTTTTCACTGCGGGCGACATCGTGTGTTGTCATCGCTATTGGTGAAGGGCTTTCTCTGCTGGTGGGCTGCACGAGCACTTGCAAAAGTGTCCAGCAAGAGCGCAGCAAAAGTGTTGCACAAGAGCGGCGCAGAAGAGTGTTTTTTCCTTCAAAAGTAGGTTGGAGGCCATTGCTATAGCACACAAGAGTGAATCATTAATCGACACTATCTCACAGGAGGTCTGAGACACCGACACCAGTTTGCAAATGTTTTGCATTCCGTGCGTGGTTCCTATCAAGTTTTTATACTACTTGCGAACATGACATGCAAACCCGCGCAAACCCGCCCGGGCCGCCCAACCTCACACTTACTTGAGTGACACGATCAAGAGAGAACTTGCACAAAAACGTTTGAATTCCACCAAAAGGCATCTCGAAGCCAACCTTTCAAGCATTTCTGCAGCAGTGCAGTATTGATGATTAGAGTTGCAACCTTTTTTTTACAGTTAAATGTTTTTTTCCCTAGAAATCTAGGAACCAAATCATCAGAGCGAGCTATCCTGCGTCCCTTACTTAACTAAGTAGGGGGGAGGGGGCGAAGAATCGAAATAGAATCAAACTCAATGTCGATTCAGTGACGCGATCGTGTTTGGAGGTACATGTTTCCATACACAGTTGACGTGATCCTGGTGGCCTTCGTTGTGATCTGGCTGGCCAGTGTAATGCTTAGAATCGCGCAGCCTGAACTGCGCGAGACAGATCCCGGTTTCAAGCGTGTCATAGTTTCGATCTCAGATCGCCACATTTACCAAAACACACATAAATACAAACATGCAGTACAATACAAAACAACTGAGGTTACAAAAGAGAATGTACACAGAAAGTACGTTGAAGGCCATCGCTCTTAGGTTGGAGGCCATCACTAGTAGGTTGAAGCCCATTACTAGATGGAGGCCATCGCTACTAGCAATGGCCTCCACCTACTAGCAATGGCCTCCAACCTACTAGCAATGGCCTCCAACCTAATAGCAATGGCTTCCAACCTACTAGCAATGGCCGAACCTACTAGCAATGGCCTCCAACCTACTAGCAATTGGAGGCCATTGCTAGTAGGTTAGAGGCCATTACAAGTAGGTTGGTGGCCATTGCTAGAAGTAGGTTGGAGGCCATTGCTAGTAGGTTGGAGGCCATTACAAGCAGGTTGGTGGCCATTACAAGTAGGTTGGTGCCCATTGCTAGTATTTTGGAGGCCACTACAAGTAGGTTGGTGGCCAT